TTACACTCTATGGTCCAGGCCATGCATTTCTCAGAAGACACGTTCTTTCTTAAATGATCCATAATTGTTTGATTTTTGACAAAAAATACAAAGGCAACTCAATATAGAAATATATGTGTTCAATGTAGAAATATATCACTTCTGAAGAAGTGACACTGAGTGTTACATGGTCTCTGACTTATACCTAACACCTAAACAAATATAGTTCAGAAGGCATTGATAGATGTGTTAAATATAAAAGAATAAGCCTTGAACAAAGAGTTCTTAGATGCAACATCAAAAGCACAATTTATAGGTGCTGGTGGCTCATGCAGGAGGCTGAGATCTAAGGATTGCAATTTGGAGCCAGACCAGGTAGAAAAGTTAAACCACCAAAAAAGCCTGAAACAAAACTGTGGCTCAAGTGGTACAGCATTAGCCTTGAGCAAAGAAGCAAAAAGGCAGTGTCCAGGGCTTAAGTTCAAGCTCCAAGATTGACCATAAAACCCAAACCCAAACCCAAAATGTTGAACAAGTAGCACAAGGCCTTGAATTCAAACCTGGGGATGAAGTATTGGTTAATTCTTGTCAAACTGATCCATAAATTTTAAAAGGCTCATTCTTCCCCCTCCCCCACTCCCCCCACCACCTTCTTTAGAATTAACTGAGAAGCTGATTCTAAAATTTACATGGACAGCGTTTAAAGGTCCTAGAATAGTTAAAAGAATTTTGAGTAAAAATGAGGCTGGTGACTTTATGGTTCTGAAGAATCAAACCCAGGGCCTAATGCTAAGCAGACCCGTACCACTAAGCCCCACTAAAAGTTGCTTTCAAGACTTACATGATCAAATTGTGTGGAATTTGCATCAAGATACACAAATACAGAGTCCAGAAATGAACCCAAATATAGGTGAACACCAGAAATTTGGAAAATATGCAAAGACAGTTCATTGGAGAAAGTACCCTTTCCCCCCAACTTCTAACAACTAGATATATCTCTGTGTTTAAAAACTTTGAAATATAGCTTGTATCATATACAATATAAAGTCAAAATAGGTTGTAAATTTAAATGTAAAACTTAAAAACTATTAAACTTCCAGAAGACAAAAGAAAAACTACCTGACTATGGGATAGAGACTTTTTAAATACAATACTAAAACCAAGCTCCATATACAAGTATTACTGGTCTACTGATGCAGAATTTCTGTCCACTTGATGAAAAGACCCCACTTATTACCAATGAATAAAATTAGTAACAAGATACCCTAAATAAAAGGAATCTGATTGAATAAATTATGGAATGAATACTATACCAAATACTATACAGATATAAAAAATAAGACTCTCAGGCTGGGAATGTGGCTTAGTAGTAAAGTGCTTGCCTAGCGCTGAAACCCTGGGTTCAATTTCTCAGTACCACATATACAGAAAAGGCTAGAAGTGGTGTTGTAGCTCAAGTGGTAGAGTGTTAGCCTTGAACAAAAGCAGCTTAGGGATAGTGCCCAGATGCTGAGTTCAAGCCCCAGGATTGGCAAAAATAAATAAATAAATAAAATAATATAAAAAGTATATGAATAGGCTGGGAAGGTGGCTCAGTGGTAGAATGCTTGCCTTGCATGCATGAGGCCCTGGGTTCGATTCCTCAGCACCACATAAGCAGAAAAAGCCGGAAGTGGAGCTATGACTCTAGTGGTAGAGTGCTAGCCCTGAGCTGAAGAGCCAAGGGACAGTGCCCAGGCCAGAGTTCAGGACCCACAAACGACAAAAAAAAAAAAGTACATAACTATATATACCATAAGGTTACTAAAAATAAACATATGACATTACAAAAGTATGTAATTCATAGCTCCAGATTATAAAAAGTACTGTCTATTGCACAGTATCTTTTTTATATCAGCACCACCATAAAAGCTACCTAGTCACAAGGACAGAAGACACATGCTAGTTGGAGCTTGGGGGGGAAATCTGAACACTTGTTAACATTTTTTAATGGTATCATTTTATTTTATTTTTAATCACATCTTTTGAGGCTTAGTTATTATGTATATACACATTTATGATTAGTAAGTATTTTAATGTTTTTCATTGTGAAAATACTATACAGAAGGGTTACAGTTACACGAGCAAGGTAATGAGTACATTTCTTATCAAGCATTGTTGCCTCCTCCTTTGTTTTTCCCCTACCATTCCTTCCCTCCCACCTCCACAACTACACTCCCCCTCCCCTAATTTTTTTTTTTTAATTGAAACTGGAATCCAGAGGCACTCACTACAGTTGTGGGAAAATGTTATTTCTAGGCATGAAAAAACCACCAAGAAATTCTCCTCTGGAATGACAGCTGAGTTGGTGGTTCTCCCACAGCCCTCCTCCATTCTATGTTCCATACAAGCCAGTTGGAAGCTGGGCAAAGATACTCCTGGGATGGGACTAAAAGGCTGTAAGCAATTACTTAAAGTAAGTTTTAGAAGACATTGCAAATGACCTCAAGTAATGAGTGAAGAGGTTTTAAAGCTTGGAAAAATCTATAGTCTGCTGTACTGACAACCAGCAGAAATGATGTGTGGCTTCCAGGAAAAATTTATTGAAGACTAGAGAACTTATTCCTTATTTCCAGAAAAGACAAGAAAATACTATGGTGAAGCCTAGAAGTAAGTGGCACTCAAAGAATCCATGGAAACTTACTTATTAGGTTTGCTACTTTTTGTGAATCGCCCAAAGTAATATCCTGATACCAAAACTAATAATCTACTGAACACACGTCTATTTTGCTAAGCATTTCATGTAACATAGTAAACTGAATTCTTTTAATGATTATACAAAGGAGTTGAGGGACAGCACCCAGGCCCTGTCTGCTCAAGACAGACAAAAAAAAAAAACCCAAAACAAAAAAACCTATACAAACAAAAAGGAAGTGGGAGAGGGCTAGCCAAGAGTGTGAGAGGCGTTGTGTCCAAGGCCCAGTTCAAACCCCAACATGGCATAAAGGGGAAAGGCACTGAGGAGTAAACAAATGCTCAAAATAATGACTCAGCAAGTTCTTAAAATATAAAAATGCTTTAGTTAAATACTGCAAAAAAAGCAATGCCAGCTCTAACAAGGTCTGTAATTGTGAAAAAGCTGCAAGTCGGGCTGGGAAGGTGGCTCAGTGGTAGAGTGCTTGCCTTGCATGCATGAGGCCGTGGGTTCGATTCCTCAGCACCACATAAGCAGAAAAAGCCAAAAGTGGTGCTTATGGCTCAAGTGGCAGAGCGTTAGTCTTGAGCTGAAGAGCTGAGGTTCCATACCCAGGCCCAGAGTTCAGGCCTCACAACCAACAACAACAACAACAAAAAAAGCTGCAGATGAGACATGGCTCAAAGTTAGTGATCATGAAGGTAAGATTTGTGTTGTTAAACAAGCACAAACGCCCCAGAAATTAAACAGCTTGTTTTCCTCTTGTTCTAAGTTTATACCCCCAAAGCTATTCTTTTGTTCTAAGAAAAGCAGACTTATTGGGACACACTAATTAGGTAAAGACACTCCATTTAAAATAAACGCTGAATTTGATGTATGTAACTAAATGTAAACCTAGAAGCAATCCACTTAGAAAAGACTTAAGAAAAAATATAATGGCAAATTCTGATCAACATTTAATGATAGAGTCAATGATGGTTCAAATCCATTCAAATACTCCAAATTTTAAAATAAGGGAAGAACTTTTTGTATCATTAAGAGGCCACAGTACTATATGACAGAAAAAAAAAATCAGAGTTCAAAATAATCTTGTAGTATATATTTTCTATGAACTACCAAAAACTTCTAGAACACGTTCCTGTGATGCTACAGAAATGTTATGAATCTTTACTCCTCACTTTAACTCAGAGCTATCTATATTAAATTAATGAAGCTGATCTTATCCACAATTTAGTATGTTAATAAAAAGTATTATGACCCTGAGAGCAGCCTGGGCTATGTAATGAAACTGTTTATAAAGGAGAGAAAAAAACTGGCCACTCAAAAAATTTATAAAGAGACAAATGCCTTACTTCTACTCTTTTTAAACTACCCTGCAAAAGTCAGTTCTGAGTATTAGACTAACTTTATCTGCAAGTTTGAAAAGATTTTGTTTGTTTTTTAATTTTGGTCAGGTGTAGGGCCTGAACTCTGTCCCGCAGAGGCTCTTTAGCTCCAAGCTAGTGCTCTACCGCTTGACCCACAACGCCACTTCCAGCTTTTTCTACTTATGTGGTGCTAAGTAATTGAATCCAGGGCCTCATGCATGCAAGGCAAGCATTCTACCACTGAGCCACCTTTCCAGCCCAGTTTGAAAGATTTTTAAACAATGAGTATCACTTATTGAAAATAATAAAGACAAAAAAGTCTTTGTAAAACTCAGTACAATTAAGAAAATAAGTCTTGTATTATAATGAAGTTAGACATATTACAAACTTTACAGAAATCTTTTATTTCAGTTCACCAAAAAGAACCCTCACTTGAAATGTATATAGAAAGTGCCATGATTTCTGAAACTTAATTTCAAATGAAGTTCAGTAAAATAAGAAAAAGTGTGAATCTGTGTGCATACATAAAATATAAATCATATACGAACACAAAATATATGTAATACATACATTGCATTATTAATATATTATACATGTGCATGTTTTGTTTTGTATGTATATTACTACATACATAATCTCTGTTCATGTAATGAGGTAAATATGGCAAAAGGTTATCAATGTCGAACACTTCAGAATACTCTCACAACCTTTGTGGAGAGTATTGTTTCTGTGTTTGAGAATTTTCAAAGAAAAAAGCTGGAAGAACAAGTACTCAATTGTCTTAGTGTTCATGTACTTTCAATTATTACTCTGAATGTATGTCCAGTACATCTCTTTTCAACCAAAGACTCTTCTGCCCTCATTTAAAACGACTAGTATAGAATTATAATTTTAAACAACAAAAAAAAAATCACAGTTCTAGGAAAAGAGTATTAAAAAGTAAGTTTAAAGAGTGGCATCAATGAATTAACTGTTTTTACCTGAAAGTTGACATCTTCTTTCTTAAATATCAGTGCTCGAACTTCATCTGGATCTCCATTAAATATAGCCTGCACCAATGATGGCTAAAATATAAAATAATTATATAAATGTTAGTCATACTACTTAAGTAATTCTAAAAACATTTCCATACAACTTTAGGGTATTTTTCTCCTCCATATCATTAATTTTTTTACATTTCATGAAACCAAATGATATCCAAGTACATCTTTGTCAGGGAATTAGGAGAGGAGAATTTAATTTATAAATGTATATATGTTCAGTTTGACAAAAATTAAGTAGTATAATAAACACAATCAGATTTTATTTCTTATAAGTGGAAATATTTTGTTTCTATATGATGAAAAGACTTACAGATATAAGTCTCTCAACATCTAGTTGTGAAACAGAACATACTGAACAAGCAATTTCCAGCCATGCTGAGGCGCATGATAGGAGATCCTTTTGAAAAGGTCTGTTTAAGGGATGAAAATAACATGTACCAATTAGCATTATATGCATAAAGATACAAATCCCATGTAAGTAAAGTTGGCAGATCATGAACTGCTACTCAAAAAACAAAAATACTGTATACTTGAATAACATGAAAAGAAAATCATATGCATGTCTAAATATAATTTACTAATCAACACCACCACTTCTGTAAGGTATCATATTATACTAGTTAAATAAGGAGCCAGTTGTCAACAGTATTAAAAATAAGGTTAAAGATACAGTGTGTGATTCTTTTTCATACATGCTCTTACACACATAAATACATAAAATCCTTTAAGGGAAAGGCTAGGTTTTGGATGTTGCTGGTAATAGTTAACCTTTTCCTAACATATGCAGTTCCTGACTTTTGTTATATCAGTTCAAAAACCCAAAATGAAAAAGTGTCATAATGCTTTTCTTAAGTCTTTTTTAAAGAGATTTAATTCTGAAATGTTACCTAAGCATTTGAAAAAGTAAAAACCAGAAATGTGTTTATTTTATATATAATACAGCAACATATTGACACCAATATTAGTTTAAGTTTTTAATGAAACTAGTGGAAACCAACTCCATTCTTAAAAACTAAAATTTACACTACTAGTAGGTCAGTAGAATATAGGAAACACAAATTCTCAAATCTTACCAATACATTTCCAGAAGGTGAAGAATGTAGGGATTTATTTTCCTGTGGCAATTTAGAAATGAATTCAGGAGAATCATCTTCAACCTCCTCCAAGACAACAATACACACTCGACTCATTCGCTCTTTTAAAACATTAAATTCCAAGCTATGTGACAGTTGGAAGGGTACAAGTAATTTTTCTTCCTCTTCTGTACAACACTTACAAACATTCTCTGAATAGTACACTTATAGTATTAAGTGCTATCAGAGAAACCAAGTTTAAAATTATGATATGTAATTTCTAAAATTCCTAAAAATTAACAAAATTCTACTCTTTGATGTTGGGTTGCTGCAATATATAAAAAAATACTACACATCAATATGTCAATCATTAAAACAGTTCAGGATAAGCTCATTTAAAAATATTTTTTTCCTACCAAAACAGTCATATTGCACTATAAAATTTACTTGTACAAAACAATCATTGTTTGGGGTAACACACCACCATGAGATAAAGAATGAAATGACTGCTATGATAAGAGATGATCACAGCTATCCCCAACATTTGACTGCAAGGTCATACAGTTACCAGTAGGCTGACTTCCTTTTATAATTGAAAATAAAAAATAAAATCTCACTATTCTGCTTCCACTTCTAACTTGTCTTTATTTCTTCAGCTTCACTGATTTAATGAAGACATTATTCAGGAAACAAACAGGCAAAAAGAGAGCTCAGCACAAATCCTGAAAATAAAGCTCAGAGGTTGACAGACAATTCCTTCTGTGTTTGGGAAAAGAGAAAAGGGGGGAAAAAAGCCACTCTGCATTAATAGCAAAGCTGCAGTACATTTACATGTGATGAGTCAGACCACAAGAGACAATAGGACTCTTGGCACAAGAATATAGCTTGATTAATCCAGATTTCCCCTATAATAGAAGAAATACAAACTGCTTTATTCCAATAGGTAATATAAGCAAGGCGGAGTTTTCATTCTTTCTCCATCAGGCAGTTGTCTGTGGCTGCTCCAACAAAAAGGCACAGATAACAGGCAAAAATGGTGATACTGGAGAATCCTAATAGAACAAGCAGGCTGCGAAGGAACTAGACCTTTGAGCTCAAATTACAGCTTCAGAGTTTTTGTATTAAAAAGGAAAGGGGAAAAAAATCCCAGCAGTTTATCATTCCAGTATTTCCTTTGATCGCCACATGAATACAGCTTCCATTAAGTAGTCTTCATTCAGAGGGAAAAAACAGCAGACTGTGCATCTTCTTTGAGCCAACAACTTTATTCAATCAGCTACCTCCGTGCCAATATAGTTTCCTTCCACAATGAAAAACCGTCACAGTTATCTTGTTCGGTTGATTTCAGATGCTTTCCTGTTCCTCAAAAGATCTTGCAAAATGCCGCTGACATCCTCAAATGAGTAGGTCCTTAAAAAAATATCTATAGAGCTTCAGGATTAGCCCCACAGAAGCATTCCAACAGAGCAACAGTCCGAAGAGCAGAAACTGCAGACCCGCAGGATGAAATGCCTTAGTAATGCTCACATGCTACACTTACCAGAGAGCTGAGCTACTGCTCAGGATGTGACTTCCTCTCACAGGAGAAAAAAAATAGTGCATTTGGACAGCCTTCACAATTAGAAGGTTCATGCCAGTTCTGTGACTAATCCAGATCAAACTGAAAATTTCTGTAACTGAAAAATGAGTGTGCTTTTAACATTTTCCACTAAAAGCCACAAGGAAATCTGGTGTACTGCTCCTTCTGACTAACACTGGTTTTAGCAAGTAAACAATTCCAAACAGCTTAACTGCTTTCGTATGCCACAATACAGCAAATGTTTAACCCTATAATGAGGCTGCAATTTAAAAAAAAAGTCTGCAGTATACTCCTAAGAGATTTAAAAAGGAAGGCGAAGTATTTTTTGAGACTTTAAAACTTAAGGTACTGTTTTCTGCCAAGACTACACAGATATATTTTCTAGAATGTAAAAAAATTTAAACAAATTTTTAAAATTGCAAATTAGGAGAGAGCAAGGGAAGAGGTGACATTGTCCAAGGTATTCCTTACTTACATAAATATAACTAACCCTTCTGTACATCACCTTTATAATAACAATAAAAATCTTTTAAAATATTAACAATTTCTAAGTTACCAAATTTATTCACTACTCATGCATATTTTTCTTTTTTGCTTCATATTTTAAGGTGAAAAATTAATGCTTCATAGAAGTAGAAATCAATTTTCACTGAAGAAATTAAGTAATCCTATCTTCCTATCTAGAAAGGCTATAAATTTTTAAAAATCTGTTAAGAAGCTATATGAAAGAACTATTTATGCTCAATGAAATCCCATTTTTATAGCCATTTAAAACTTAAGAAAAAAAAACAAAAAACTATAGGAAAAAGTACTTGTCCTGAAGTATCTATATGTCAAAAGGGCACAAGGGCCAGGTGGCTGTGGCTAACGCCTGTAATCCTAGCTATTCAGGAGGCTGAGATCTGAGGATGGGGTTCAAAGCCAGGCTGGGCAGGAAAGTCCTTGAGATTTTTTTTTTCTTGGTTTGGTTGTGGGGCTTGAACTCTGGGTCTGGGAGCTGTCCCTCAGCTCTTCAGTTCAAGGCGAGCACTCTACCACTTTTCTGGTAGTTAGTTGGAGATAAGGGTCTCACAGGCCACCAGGCTTCCGCCTGGATTTCCTAAGATTCTTACCTCTAAGCACCTGAAAACCGAAGTGTTGCTGTGGCTCAAGTGCTAGAGCGTCCCCCTTGAGCTGAAGAGCTGAGGGACAGAGCGCATAGCCAGAGTTCAAGCCCCATGACCAATAAAAAAAAAAAAGAAAAAGAAAAGAAAAGAAAAAGGGCACAATGGCACTATGTATTGAATTTTTTTTTTGAAAAAGGATCTTTCCCAGAAAATAATTTTCCCAACAGTAGAAGGAAGAACCCAGTGAACAAACACATACCAGAAACCTGGATGCAGTTCTCCAAATTGCACAAAGCACACTATTTTGTACTTCACATCCCCCCACCATTTGTTTACCACACAATAGGATTATTTCTCAACAGGAAAACTATAAAGAAAATACCATAGTCTCTCTTCAATCTGTTTTTTAATTCTATCCACTAGGATTCTCATTAATATCTCATTACCTCTCTACTTTCTGTGAGGTGCTTGATTCTATATATTCCCATTTAATACAGACAGTATATATAAATGGCTATATTCTCATATTATAGAGGAAAACCCAAACTTACAAATAAAAATGTTAATTCAAACATTAAAATATTAAATCCAAATATAATACAGTATGTATTTCTTCAGCAGATGAATACCATACTGAACACAATGGAAATGCACAGTATGCTACTACTGTTTGTACAAGTTTGTACACAGCACACTATTGGCTGATGGATTGGAAGGTGACCAACCATAGCACTGTGTTCTGTATCCTGGACACTGATTGGCTCAGTAACATAGCACCTGTCTGTGTGCTCTCCTCACACTGTGCCCATAACATTCAGCATCTCTCCTTGTCCACTTCACATCAACATGTGATCGATGCATGTAGTGTTGCTCTACAGTGTTGTGTTTTTGTGAAATTTACGTAGAAGTTTGAATTCATTTCAAGCCCTACGATGCCACGCAAACATTCTGCACCTTCTAAGGCTTTTGGCAGTGAACCCAAGCACCAGAGGAAAATGCTTACCATCAAAGAATCTTGACATGTTAAAGGAAGGCAAAAGCTATGCAGCTGTAGGCTGCCATTATCTACTGTTGGCTACAAAAAGAAATGAGAAGAATATTAGGTCTTCAGCAACTATAACTTTTCCTTTTTTCTTTTTTTGGTTGGTCGTGGGGCTTGAACTCTGGGCCTAGGCACTCTCCCTCAGCTCTTCAGCTCAAGGCTAGGACTCTACCACTTGAGCCACAGCTCCACTTCTGGTTTTCTAGTGGTTTGTTGGCGAT